ACAAAAGCGCACATGCCGACTTATGTATACTTTTCCGGTTTTAGGATCAAGACAACGATAACCTTTATAACCAGATGCATATCCTAGAAAAACACATTGAATGGATCGGGGAGAAAGTTTATTGGAGGAACTGGCAGAAATATTTGAAAAACATGCACAACCAAACACACGTAGAAGGGAATAATCGGGAGATTTTTGAAAAAGTTTTTCATAAGGAGAGTGACCAGACAGCATTAGAGTGGGTAATCTGATAATAATATATACAGCCGTAAACAGCGCATCAACCCAAAAATGACTAGGAAGAGATGCCTCAATAAGCATAGTTCTAGTAAGTTCAAGTAGATGACTAGTAGATGACGATGTTTACGCTCAGCAAGCCCATTTTTTTAGGAGTGTGAGGGCAGGATTTTTGAAAATAAATTCCATGAGAATCAAAAAATTGCTGCATATTAGAATTAACAAACTCACCCCCTCCATCACTTTGAAAAATTTTAATTCTAGAGTTAAAAAAAATTTCAACTAAATATTAAAAAAATTTAAAAGAGTCAAAAACCTCGCTTTTATTACGTAATGGGTAAATCCATGTAAAATGAGAAAAATCATCAATAAAGCAAACATAATATTTAAAACCCAGATTAGAAAGAACAGGAGACTGCCACACATCAAAATGAATTAATTGTAAGACAGAGGAAGAAGTGTGAATAGCATCGGAAAAAGGTAATCGTTGAGACTTGCCTGACCGGCAAGAAATACAATCATGGGAAAAACTAGAGCTATTACATATGCGTTTTTGACTACTTAAAATACGTAAAATATTTTCACCACAATGACCTAATCTACGATGCCACACAGGGCCGGTGGTGAGAACTGAAGATAAAGCTAGACTAGATGGTGGACTCAGGCTAAGAGGATAGAGATGGCCATTAGTTGTTGCCCGAAGAAGAACAGCCCCCGAAATTTTGTCCTTAACAAAAAAGGAATTTTTGTCAAAAATAGCAACACAGTTGTTATCAGCACACAATTTTTGAATTGAAATTAAATTAAATTTAATATTAGGCACATGATAAACATTTTTCAATAGCAGTTGGCGGCCAGAGGAATTTAAAGAATTATCACCAACATGTTTTATAGGGAGTTGAGCACCATTAGCAATACTAACAATAGTTGGACCAGAATAAGTAGATTTATTTGTCAAAATACCTTCAGAGGAAGTCATGTGAGCAGAGGCACCAGTGTCTGGATACCACAGAGCTTCATTAGCTTGACCGGTGAGAAGAACAGGTGCAGTAGATGAAGAAAAATGAGAGGGACAGTTGATTGCAGAATGGCCTGCAGAAAAACATATTTGACACACAACGGGTGGGGGAATTGCCCCAAGAATTCCCTCAGTTGATGAAGAGCCTGCAGATTTAACATTAGTACCACAATATAATATAGCATTAGTATTTAAAGTGGACAAAATAGAATTACTCATGGCACCTGCATTCGGAGGTCTCAGTTGTTGTTGCCCCCCATGATGCTGGCCGAACCCCTGCTGGTGATGGTGTTGTCCCGGTTGCGTACCCTACTGCGGAGCTGACTGTTGCTGCCCGTGGCCGAGAGGTGGTTGCTGGCCGTACTGGTGGTAACCTCGGCCTCTGCCGCGGCCGTTTCTTCCACGGCCACCCCTGCCGCGGCCACCACGGCCTCCTCGTGGGGCATTGTCTCGATCTTGGACACCGAAAGCTTGGTAAGCACGTGGAGTATTTTGCTGACAAAGATATAGGACCCTCTGTTCGGCTTCTAACAATCTCCGGTGAAGAATGTCTGGCGGGAAATTATCGGGGAAAAGAGAAATAGTGCCCATGGTGGATTCATATTCTGGTGCGAGCCCCATAAGTGTGGTTTGAAGAACTTCTTTATCGGACACAGGAGAATTTATTGTAGCTAATTCACTTACTAACGCATGAATTTCTCTTAAATAATTTTCCATAGACTGATTTTCCTTCTTTTTCACATTAGACAATAAACGCCTAAGTGTCATTGCCCTAGCCAGACTAGCCGAACGAAAACGATTTTGCAATCTTTCCCAAATCTCAAAGGAGTGCTTAAGTTCATGGACATCAATTAATACGTCACGAGTAAGAGTAGCAAAAATCCAAGAACGAATTGTTTGATCAACCCTTAACCAGTGATGATAATCAGTATTAATTATTTGGCGATTATTAAAATCGACTGTGTACATCGGAGGTACCTTTGTGGAACCATCCAAGAAACCAAACACACCTTGAGAGACTAGGAAAGCTTCGAATTGAGTGCGCCAGGTGATGTAATCTTCCACAGCTTTAAGCTTAATAGTAACAATTTGAGTAACGTTGTTGGCCGGTGAGATGGATTGGGAAACCGCTGCCATTGGGGACTGAAAAAGGGAATGATCAGTCGGCCGAGATATACCCGGAGTACCGGAAAACGTTGACCCAAAATAGCCAGGGCTGAGGTGCGGCTGTTGCGTGGCAGGGGTCGAGAACATGCTGCTGGAAAAATTTGGAATGGCAGATGCCTGCCATGGAAACACCGGAGGAATTGTTTGAAAGAGAGAGTATGCACCTTCGGCACTGAATGGGGATGAAGCAGGGTTGACTACCGAACCGGCCTGAGAGGGAGTCACCTGATGCGACTCAGTGAAGGGGATTGAGGCGCTGGTGATGACAACGGCTGCGTCAGTGAAAGACGAAGGGACTGGCGCCGTGGTCGAAGATGTAGAAGCAGCGGTGAAGGCGTCCATGGAAGAGCTTGAGACTTCGGCAAAGAGGGAGGCTGCGGCCGAACTCATCGCGTGACAGAAAGGACAAGGGTTTAGGGGAGAGAGAGAAAAAAAATTAAGCTCTTGATACCATGTGAAATAATGGGAAAGGTTACCCAATAGGGTACCTGGCAGATATATTTATACTAATAAAAGTTTCCAAAGATACAAAGGATTCCTAATTTAATATTCGGCTATTAGTATTGAGTTGACTGATGGTTAAGGAGTTGGATGCAGTGGAGATTGAATCGGATTCCCTCTTGACGATTTCTGAGATTCAAAGTGGCTCCAGCTTGTCGACAGGAGGTTTATTGGCCGAGGATGTTAGAGTGGATACCTCAGGTTTTAATAATATCTCATTTTCTTTTGTGAGGCGTTCGGCGAACAGGGTCGCTCATTCCTTAGCTAGAGTGGCTTGTTCTTTGTCTGTTAGCCAAATTTGGGAGGGGTCTACCCCGAGCTGTATTGCTGACGTTTTGACATTTGACGTGATTAATGATATTTAATTCTCTTTCTCCAAAAAAACAAGCTAACAATTATTATAAAACTCACAAAACTATCTTTTAGCTAGTTGTGCCAAACATACTCTATAAGTAGACATATTAAACATTTTTATTTGATAAGTGTACTAAATGATGTTATGCAGAATTAATTTCTCATTGGTAACATATTTTGTAGGAAAAGTAATTTCAAATTGTACGAATTTGAAAATAATTTCATTTACTCCATATGTCTCATTTTTCTTGACTTACCTTCCTTTTTTACTGTCTCAAAATAATTAAGTGTCACAACTCTCTTTTTAGAAAGAAACGTGTGGTCCAAAGTATTTAATTTTATTATACTCAAATCTCAATCTCAACTTTTACTATTTCAATCATTTTACAAAAATTATGTCAAATAAAAAATAAGACACATAAAGCGGGATGGAGGTAGTATTTTTCTCTTATCTCTCTAATGCATGCACGCTTACAAGATTATCAGTTTCATAATATTAAAAATAACCTAACAATATGAAGATATACGCTTTATAGTTAATCGGGGAGATTCCCACACATTTACTTACAACTACATTTGATCACTATTATTTGACCTTGTGTGACAAGTTCCTAGGTAGGGGTGAATTGGGAATAAGAAAAAATCAGAAAGGAATAGAAATATACTCCGTATTACACAAAGGCTTCGTTATAAAACCGTAGTATTGATAATATATTACTCCGTACTAAAATATGGCTATAGACGGGTGGAACTAGGGGTGTTAACGAGTCGGGCGGAGCCCGAACACCCAAAGCTCGAATTCGGCTCGTTAAGAAATTAGGGGTGTTCGTGTTCAAGCTCGAAGCTCGGCGAGCTTTATAAATGAGGCTCGTGTTCGGCTCGATAGACGTTCGATGTTCGAACCGAGCGCTCGATAAGCTCGATAAATATGCCTGGATTTAAAATTTTAGGCGATGCTCGTTAATAGGCTCGTGCTCGAATGATTCGACAAGTATTTGGTTCGTTAATAATCATATTTAAATTCATAAATTCATACTAATTATATTTAAATTTTGAAATATATATAAATTATATTTAAAATTTTAGGGTGTTCGATAGGCTCGAGTTCGAACCGAGCCGGACACTACTATGTTCGAGCTCGGCTCAATTAACTTTTCAAACTTAAAACTCAGTTCGGGTTCGAGTTCGAAAGCTCGAACACGAACACCCCTAATTCCTTAACGAGCCGAATTCAACTACACAAACTCATTTCGGTATTTAAAATATAACTAAGAAGTTATTATAAGAATTACAGTACTACACATGTACACAAAGAAAAATAGAACACGACTTGATAACTTTTATAGTCTTATAACTAAGAATTTACGACTCAATAATTTTAAAAATAATACACTATTAAACCTATTTTTTTGGATTTATCCTTCATTTCATCACATTATTTCACTATCTTAATACATACTATGTATCTCTTTTCACTATTCTTAATCTACCTACTTTTCAAATGGGAACATCCCAAGGTTACGAAGGTAGTAGCAAATTAGGTTATGACGGGGCGAGGTGGGGCGGGTCATAGGTCAACAATTTTGGACCTGTGCAGGTCACAGGGCGGGGCGGGTCCGGATCTTGCAGTACCCACCCAGACCCATTGCCATGTCTAGTAAAAATGGTTTAGAATCACACAAACTTTACCAAATTTAGTATAAGACAATCTTAGTGGGACAAACTGAAAGGTAAAATAGGACAATCTTAGTGGGACGGAGAAAGTATCTCATAGCCGACCCCAAATTCTTTCAAGATTAAGGCTTGGATGTTGTACACAAACTAATATCTTCTCGCACAAATGAAACTTCATGTATTTTACAAATTATATGATATATACCTAATAAATGAAGTATTCGCATAATATGTTAAATATATGACCTATCAAAATATATAAGATGATATTACGGATCTGGCAATGGTGCGGATAACCGTACCTGAACTAAACGGGATGGTTATGGGACGGGTAACAGGGGGTAAGTATAGAGCCGTAGCCGCCCCATTACCCGTTTACATAAATCGGGTATTCTCCTCATACCCGTTAGTCCGTTACCCAATCAACACGATTTTCCCCATTCTGACCGGTTCAGTTCAATGCGAGTATCCGTCGGGTCGGTTAAGTAGTCATCCCTAATAAAAGTACAATTCAACCCATACGGATGATACGGCAACGAGTAGGTCATGGCATGAAGGGAAAGAATGCTTAAAAAATGGGTGGTTGATAAGACAGTAATTTTATTCAAAAACCACGATCCATAGTGTTATCCAACCCACATTAACATAACCAATCAATGAATCATCAATAATAATAATCATCATTGGCATCTTCATCTTCGTCATCGTCAAAATACTCTCCATCAAACTCATCCCTAACTTTCTTGGCTTTAGTAACCTTTCTTGAAGACGCTCCCGTTATGTCATTATAGAGTTTCTTATATATCGCAGGGCTGTCATACCAAGTTTGGGTTTTCATGATTGCATGTTCTAACCAGTACGGGTTCATTTTCTTCGTCTCTGACATCTTCTTCAAGGTCCGTTTCCACTTCTCTGCGAGCCGCTGTAACCGAAGACTCTTCTTCCCTCCAAACATGACCTTAATAATATCTTTCGTGTAGCGGTTGATATCTTCACCTTCAAGGATATATATGTACTGTATAACATGGGAAACAATACAATGAGGGAAGCAATGACTGGTCTGGTTATCATTGAATAGAAATGTACTAAAGAGAAGCGAAATGCATAATTTTGCTTTCATTAAGTTAAAGACAAGGGTGTCATAAACTAACAATTGAGAATGTTAACACCATTCGGATTAAAAGAAAGCACTTTCCCTATTTCTTGTGTTTGGGGGCAGGAGGGTAACATTTTCTGGAAGATAATACTGTTGATGTTAATTTTTGACAAAAGGTCCCGCCACTTTTGGCTTAATCCTTTGCTCAGGAACATAATTCAGCAATTTTCACAAACTGGACAAATAACACTTACTGAACAGGCTATATACTGCATTAAAACAACTTACTTTCTAGAAAAAATACTTCATTCAAGTGTTGAACAGACTCTTTGATATGTATGGCCGTATGGGCAACAATGCAACATCAAGAACAGCTCTACAAGCTTGTATACAATAGATGCAGAGACAGAAGAGATGCAAAAAATAGAGGGATGGTGATTACCAAAAATATGAAGCCCAAAGTAGCCAAGACAGCTTGCATTACTTCATCAAACATATCTGAAATGTTTTCACCTTCTGATCCACCAGAACCATCTTTACCATCTTTACCCCCACCACCTCCTCTGCCACCAAAACCGCCTTTACCACTACCCCCATCATCATAAAACTCTTTTTTCTTAATCTGCTGCCTTAGAACATCCTCAATCGACTGCTCCTTCAAACTTCCCATGAAATTCCCAACCACTTCCTTTGGAATACCCTGGTAGATAAGGTCACAAAGTCACAGTGAGCTTCACAGCTTTTAGTTCACCTGAATGATATTACCTCCATGTACCAAAATGAGGCAACATTGGAAGCACTTAGGGTTTCTCAGGTATTGTTAGATTACTAATTTACTAAGGTAATATTTTAGACTATTCCAACTCTGTATATAACAATTTAATGGCATATATAATATCTCATTCCATGAACCGAACAGCTTAAGATATGGCATGATACCCTCCATTTTTTTAATTACCTAGATTAAGCATAGGTTCCGTGAACTGAACATTCTATGGGAAATTTCATGAGCATGGTCCCCAACTTCCTCAATGAATTACTATCTGAGGAGTGGTGTTTGGTGGCAACAAGTTAAGCAAGTCGAACATTCAAGTTTTATCAGGTATCAAATATCAATTAGCATATCATGAAGAAGCTATAATCTGTTTTTATCCAAGGAGGTTCTGTGAGTATCCTCATGCCAGTAGAAAGATATGAAAATATATGAGCTACATCTTAAACGTGATATAATTCAGCATGGAAAGTGAAACAATGTAATGAAAGGATAGAAGCCGATATAAGGATCTTCAAAGGTATAAAATGACATTATTACATTCAAATCAAAAAGCTGGCGTACTATAGCAATTAATAGTACCTAACTTATCGAACCGTTATCAAAGAAAAAAAATCTTAATTATCTATACTACCATGTCTCCAATATCCAGGCCATTTTTCAGACTAACAATGCACAAAAACAAATACTTGCCATCCCGAAATAAATTCCCACTTTTCTTTTCCACCCATCCCTAAAGCATCTACCTATCTCTTTCAAATGAAATTATCATCTGGTCCATATTCTTTTCAATCCTAAATAAATCTAAAAACCCAGTTTCATCTTCTAATAGCGGATGAGTCATGGGTGTAAATAACATTCTTACCTCATCTACATTGCCTGACTTTGTCCTGCCCCCAAACAAGCAGACAGGTCCAGATTGTGTGGAAGTAGAAGTACCAGCCACGACATTAAGAGACAACTTAGGAAGCCTTGCAGTTAGGTAAATTGTTGAAGACTTATTCAACCTCAGTGAAACTGGAAATCTTGACTTCGTTGCTGGAGAACCACTTCCAGATGATGAAATGGGAGGGTAGGTTGACAAGAAGGGTTTGCTAGTAACGTAACTCATCTCATCAAGCAGTTCAGTAAGCTATGAAACTCATAAAATAAACTACATTTGATATGAAACACAGAATTCAGGAATCTCTTGACAAATACAATTCCCCTGCAAATGAAACAAAATCAGACACAGGATAAAAATCAGAGAGCAGGTAAACCATGAATGAAAGAAAACATGATTTATTTAACTGGAAATAGTAGACAAGGCCAGGCTAACAAAAAACGCAGATTTCATACAGATATTTTATTGTAATAGATAAGCCTCATAGAGTATAACAAAAAGTGTAGAATTTACAATTAAAATAAACCCAGAAAATATGCATCTTATTGGTATTTTATGATTTTATATATGCAATGTATAAAATCACAAATACTAATAGAACAATGTAAATACTTCACTAAATTGGTTTTCATGCATTTGAATTTGTAAATACGAAGTTTCGAACAGCACATCCAAAATTGATAAAAAGCACTTCAAAATTGGGTTTCATATCTGGATAATTAAAAGTTAAAACAAGACTTATTTGTTGCATGGGAGCATTTGAAGTATGGAGAGTGGGGGAAAACCTGGGTTGAATAAAGAAGAACCAGAATAGGAAGAATTATATTTAGGGTTGCGTTAATTAAGTAATTTGAAAGGAAACCCATCACATAGAATTATATAAATTTTGAGTATTACGATAAACTAAATGAAATTTCGATTTAGGGTTTCGTTAAAAATAATATTCCGTAATTAAAGAAAATTCAAGGATAAAAATAAGATCAAATTCAAACTTTTCTAGAAAATTGACTAATACTAGCAAGACATTTGTGTCCTCATTAGTGACTTCTGACATCAACCCGGTGACAACAAAGCAACAAACTAATTTCAGATTTTCAGTAATTTGGAAATTGCAATTAAAGAAATCCGAAAATCATAAACAAATAGGCTCATCATTCATGTCCTAAGTGCTAACTGCTATTGACTATTGAGTATTGTGTGTACTGCGTAGTTGCTTACCGGCGGACTGCGGAGACAGCGGGGACGCGGAGTAGCGCGGACGACGGTGGATGGTCAACGGACGAGAGGTCCTGGAGGCGGGGCGCTCTGGCGCGGCAGCGCCGTGGAAGGATGGCGGTTCGCCGGTTCGGTCGAGCGGCGGTTCTTCTTCCGGACTTCTGTTCCGCGGAGGCCTCTTGACCTCTTCCCGTCTTACGCGTTCTTCTTTCTTTTCCTTCAAATGTTTGGGAGCTCGGCTAGTGGGCTGGCAGGTGAGTAATACGGAGTACTAATAGTTTTTATGGGCCCACTAAAATTTTGGGCCCTGTCCAGCTGCACATGAAGTGCCTGCCCTGGGCCGGCCATGATACCAGTTGCTCGATCGGGGCTGCGATTGGGGAGGGGGTGGGGATAGAAAGAGTGCAGGGGAGGCTGGGGGAGGGGGGATCAGAGGTCACTGGATGGGACTAGGGGGGTCACTAGATGGACGACGGTGATCACTAACGCGGCAGTAGTCACTGTGACCAACCACCATATTGTGGTCAAAGCGAAATTTGTAAATGTGCGACATAATTTATGTAACATTGGTCATTGTAGAGTTGTCACTATAACGCGAGACAATATTAGTGAGAAGAGTGTGATGGACCAATGGTCCTTTCAATCATTTTAGTCTCTTTTTTGGAATTTAAAAAAAAAAAAAGACTTGTTTTTGTCTTTAATTTCTCCATTAGTATTATTTTTGTCAAAATCTGTTATTCATATGCAGAGTACACTTTTTTGAAATATTAAATTGATTTTAATAATTACGATCATTTTTATTCAAAAACAATATAAGAATAAATAGAATTAAAAAAATTAGATTTTATAGTTTAGTATTAACGTTATAATGATTGGTTTTCTTTATAAGTTGCCCGATAAAAAATATTTCTGGTTAAAAAACATGTTGTAGAAGCATTGGTGTAATAAAAAATAAGTGGTGATAACAGTAAAAATAATTAAAATACTTTTCTCAGTTTTTTTCAAATTGATATTTTTATTTACTAATAAAATTAGCTCTGAAGTCAAAATCAATATAGGAGACGTATTTTTTTTAAAGAAGGTGGCTTAATTGATATCACAACATTAGCATTCAGATAGGGAATTAAACGACAAAAGGACCACATACAACCGTCAGCCCTCGAACCAAACTTAGAGTCAACCATCTTCAAAAAAGCAATATAACTCGTTGATCCTATAATGGGCATAAATGAGTCAACGACGGTTAAAGCAGGTCTCTTATCACGCAATCTTAATGCAAGAGTCTTACAATAATAAATATAATCAACAGAAAAATAAGCAGTCTGATCATGAAAAATAAATCACAAGCAAACAGTAAAATTAAGAAGACGCTTCCAACCCCTAGATTCTCCTGCACTCCATGGCGACGGTTCAGGAGGGGGACGATCCAGCACTACTGTAGCTTCTTCCTCACATTGCCTCTTATTCATCATGTTCTCTATCAAGCATCATATGTCACCACCTGACACAGATGACCTCGAATCCAGATTTGTTCCACCCTCCAGCTCCACACTTCATCCATGATCTTTGGCCGCCGGAGACCAAACATCATCTTCCCTCCACTTAATCTCGCTAAAACAAAAGAAGAAAAATAACTGCACAATTGATGGCGGAAGAAGAAACCCTGTACGCCTAAGCCCGCCTGCGGCGGCCGCTCCTCGTTAAAAACGATAGCAGAGAAAAAAATCTAGCGGTGAAAACCCACCCTAGAGAGAGAAAACCAGCCAATGAAAACTTTACGAAGAAAAGTTTTGTCCTTTTTACAGGAGACAATATTTAAAACCTTGAATTTTATTTTTTTTTCAAATTAAGGAGTTGAAATGGTACTATTAAAAAATATCATAATAAATGAATTAGGAGTATATACACTTCATATGATTCTCCAAATTAAATATAAATTATATTTCTCGATATTGTTCTTAAAATTACGGAATCGGTATTTTCTTTTGAGTGTGCATGCATTAGGTATAAAAAAAAGATAAATAAATTGAACTAAATTCAAATTTAGTGTTGTTTTGATTTCTTAAAAGCATTTTGCCATAAAAATTACATTGAAGAATTCTTAAGCATGTTGACATTTAACAATCAATTAATTTCTATTATTGAACTAAATAATTTTCCTCAACACTTTTGAAGTCAAAAAGTAGGGATGGACCGGGACGGATCGGCATGGCCCGGTACTATGCAGGACCGACCCGGCCCGGTCAACCGGTACCGGGACTAGGGGCCCGAACCGGGGGAGATTGGGGCGGTCTACGAGCTGATGAAATGGACCGGCCCAGCCGGTCCGGGACTGGTCCGGGTCCAATATTTTGTTTAAAAAAAAATTCCCATTGATTGGCTGCTAGGTGGGTGGGACTAGGTGGTTTGGGGGTGGGGGTAGGAATAAATTCAAAATGACAGATTAAAAAAAAATGGACCCGACCCGGTTCCAATACAAACCCGGGCCGGTACTGGGTCTGGTTCCCAAAATTGTAGTCCCGCCCAATCCCGGCCCGGTCTACCCCTACCAAAAAGTGATTGAGACAATTCTCATCTGCTTTTAATAGTTGTACTTGTGTTCAACATATTTAGGGGGTGTTTGGAACTGATTCTGCTTCTGCTTTTTTCTAAGCAGAAGCAGAAACTGTTTCAGAAGCTGGTCTCACTCAGCTTCTAAAAAACTGATTCTAGGAGTAAATTAGAGCACCAGAATCACTTCTGTACTTTCACCCAAACACTCCAATTTCTACTTCTGCTCCCTGAAGGAGAAGAAGCAGTTTCAAGAATCAAATCCAAACGCCCCCTAGACCCTAGTGTTATTTCATCACGCAAGATAAATTGCACATTACAATTTTTAAACTTCTTGTTTTATTTGTGAATTTGCATGAAAAATACTGTGTAAAGGATAAAAGGACCCATTTTATATGTTTGACTCAGGTTAACACAAACAGAATAGGATTAACTCTCCCTTACGGGAGGTCTCAGGTTCGAAACTCAATAGAGTGAGTTTCAACCCTGATTACTCCAGACCTCCCAGCCCCCCTCCCCTAGACGCCCCCGGAGTAAAAAAACAAAAAAAAAGACTAATTTGTAAAACACAGAACTGGAGAGTATAATAGCAGGGATTAGCAGAAAACTATACATTTGGTTTTCATTGTCAAGTCTGCAAAGTTGTCGAGTTTGCTTCTTTCTGTCTAGGGGTAGGGGGTGAGGAAAAAAACAGAACGTGTCATCTTGTTCAGTGAAACTCCTATGTATTTTCCAGAGATCTGTAACTCTGTAAGTTGTATGATGCCACAAGTATTATAGATTTATAGCAAAGGTTTATGTCCCAAATATACATCAGAGAACAAACATTAAGATGAATATAATCATTTCCAAACAATATCCCCTAAAAATTGGAGAGCTGGAACGCCTCTGATTTCTACGTCAACAAGGGGTGCCTGGACCAACATCAAACTACACAGCTCAGGATCACTTTCTATTAATTCGAGTGCCCGTGCTTGATCCTGCATCATTATTTTTGCAGTCAGTTTATTCAACACACCGGCAATTGCTGCAAATAAAGTTTCTATGCGAAAGTGATGAAGTGTGTGAACATTTATCAACAGTATACTAGTATAGGACCATTGCAACTTCCCTTAGATGTCAACTTAGAGGCCGTTTGGTAGGCTAGTTTGGCTTTTCGGCCATATCCGCTGTTTTTTCACCAAACACTAACAATTGTAACTGTGCAAGCTTTGAATTGGCCAAAAATGAAATACGTGTGCATGAGTTATTTATTCTCACTGAAATTGATGTAAATATGTCATTAATATTTTAAGCTCAATGATTATAACTTTGTATATTTGTATATAATTGTCAATACATTACTCTGTTCAGCTAATTCAGCCACAACTTCCACCTCCAACAATTTCAACCGATTCAGCTACTTCATCCATTCTAAGCCTTACCAAATAGGCTCTAATCGTTCAACAGCAGATTAATATTATTTCCAAATGAAAGGTTATTTTGGAACTTGCAGTATGGTAACTTCATATGTACTCCGTATAAACTAACATGTAGGGAAAATTTTAGTACCTTCCTCTTCACTGCACAGAATTTGCAATCTGAAGTAGATGGAGGAAGAACCTGGTTAACAATTAGCCGCTTAACAGGAACATTCTCCTTCTTCAAGGAAGCACATAACCTTGAAGATTCACTAATTGCCATCACCTATAATAGGAAGTAGCTTTAACTAGGTTATCAAACTATTAAGGAGTAATTAATAACTGGGCATGGAACATTATTTCCCGTCTAAGGTTCTGTTTGATTGTGGTTAATGAGTTGCTGTGAAAAATATTTTCTGGTTCCTTGAAAGTATGTCATTTTTGTGTATAATATACTGCATAACATTTTACAAGAACAGAAAAGGAGAAGAGAATGACAATCTACAAAGATATGCAAAAGAATTAAAGAAGATATTTCCTTCAGGAAAGTGTTTTCTGCACCAACAAGAAACCAGGAAAATCTTTTCAGAGAAAATATTGTATCTCAATCACACGGAGCCTAATTCCATCTTAAATAGCAAAAGGAAGTTCACAAATCTTTAAGTCATTGTTAGGAAAGCGGAAGGGTAATAAATATCTAATCACTTTACTCTTACGTCGGGTGAAAGAGATATTCTACATAGCTATTTTCCTATTTTTCAGCCTAAAATTAACAACCACCAATCCTCCCTCCGTAATGCTCCAACGAAACAAAAACTAAGCCTCTTGAGGCATGAAAAGATATGTGGAGATAAAGCAGGCACATTGCCAATTGCTTTCAACATGTAAAGGAGCTGGATAGAAAACAAATCCTACCAGCCATTAGCAACATAACAAAAAACCTTACTTTGCTGATTAAGGCAATAAATAGGTGGCAGTTTTTATTTATAGGATTTATTACCGTAGGAATAGCTACTATAACGAACTCTGTGGAATTTGTATTGCGGAAAAGTTCCCTAACTTTTATCATCCTATCCCGTAATCGCTCCAATTTATCACCCTGCATACAGCACAGTAAAAAGTTGCTCTCAACAATAATAATAATAGATAATTCTCATAGACGTGTCACCAAGTCAATGACTGTCAGTCAAGCTTACAGCATCTTGTTTTGGAGCTTGTTCCTGCCCAAACACAGACTTTATTGCTGATGTGGCTGATGCTATCTTCTGCCTCAACTGTTACACAATAACATATGC